TAGATGTCACTATGTCTGCCACCACTTAACTGGTTGTCATTGAGTCACTTCCAACTATGGTGACCCCATGTGTGTCAGTAGAACTGTGCTCCATAGGATTTTCAGTGGCTGATTTTTCAGACGTAGATAGCCAGGCCTTTCTTCCCAGGCACCTGTGTGAACTTGAACCTCCAACTTTTTGGTTAGCAACTGAATGTGCTAACCCTTTGCATTACCCAGGGTCTCCTATTAACACTTTGGTCCATTATAGTGAATACTTACTGCTTGTGGAATAGGAAGCAAAACTCAAACATCCCTTTCTCTGACCAGTTCCCCTGTCTTATTTCACCCATGTAAAAACTAAGGCCCAGTAACTTGCCCAAGACGAGTTAAAGGAATGTTTCAGCATTACTAGGCCAGCCAGACATGCTAGTGGGGATTATTCTAGCTAGTAATCAAGTCATTTTTTGAGGCATACTCATTCAAAACACTCAGCTGGATGTTGTGAAATCTGTATTCCTTATAAACGAGATATCAAACAATGGACTAAATAATCATATTCAGTCAGTTTTGAAGATTTATCTGTTCAGAAGGTCAACATAGCATTTGAACTGATTATATGAGTAATCAAGTGGAATTCAGCTGTCTCGGAAGGTAGCTCAGTGTTTCCAGGCATTTGATAGTTTTTGCATCAGTGAATAGACATACGTGCAAAAATGTGTGATGACACAGAATCTCTCATTTTGCTGCTATCAGATATTAACTATTACTCAATGTATTTCTAATAGTGATATAATATTTACTGGTGTAGAATTTGAAAAATTTTACATATGGCAACATCAGTATGGGAACCTATTTTAAAATAAGAAATTGTTGGGAACGAGTGAGAAAATAGGGCTGTGTTCAGTTAGGTATGCCAAGAATTTCTAGCTCTAAATTAATTTTGGTATGAAAAGTGATTTTTTTTTATTATATGTATCTGTTCTGAATGATTACTCAATTGTAGGGAATGCTACCAGATTACATATGTGTTCTCCATCCATGTTCCTTCAAATCCTTTCTCCCCCACTCAAGACCCAAAACCTTTGCTAATTTCTGTTCACTTAGATTTTAGTGATGAACACGTCTCCATTCTGGTAGCAATCCCCGACCATTCCGCCTTAGGATGGGCACACTCTGGTCTTATCCCCAAGCCTCTGTCCTCCTTCCTTTCATTCTACATACTATTTTTGGTTCATTTAATCAAGTTTGTTAGCTTTGGGGGCTAATAGCTCACAAATCAATGCTTCTAGACCAGTCCGCCCTCTAAGTTCTATACCATGCATTTTAAACAAGAATATTGCCCCTGAAGGATCGAAAATTGGTTCTTGGAACTGAAAATATCTTACTCTTTTTATGTATAAAACACAGAAATAATACAGTACATAAACATATATACAGCCTCTCTGTGGTTCTAAAATTTTATGTAGCGGGGAGATTAGGAAAAAGGTGTCTAAGAAAGCTCCTTGCTGGGTGGGCGTGAACCCAATGCTGTGGAGTTGATTCTGACTCATGGTGACCCCATGTGTTACAAAGTATAGCTACTCCATAGGGTTTTCTTGGCTGTAATTTTTATGGAAGCAGATTTCTAGGCCTTTCTTCTGCAGCATTGCTGGGTGGTTTTAAACCACCAACCTTTAGGTTAGTAGTCAGGCGCAAACTGTGCCACTCAAGGATCTTTGTGGGGAAGGGGGGCAATAGTGATAAAAAAAAAAGGTTGAGAAACACTGTTCTACATCTATATGAATCTTCGTACCTTCAGGACATTTCTACTTGACGTCACGTAGATCCTTTTTCAAATTCAACTTGTCCAAAACTGAAACAGTTATCTTCTTTGTCTATCCTACTCAAATCTGATTTTCACCCAGTCTGTCTTAACTCAATTAATGACATTATCTGGGTTTCTAGGCCTGCTCTTTCCTCTTGTCTCCATTCCCAGGCACAGCTTCAGCTCAGGCTATCTCTTTCCTTGCCTGGATTATTGCCACAGCTTTTTAAATTACTCTTCCTGCTTCTGTTACCATTTCTCTAATCTCCTATGCACGCTGCTTAGATGGAACTTTCTGAAATGCACATCTGATCTTCTCTTGTCAAGCTTAAAACTTCCATTGCTTTTAGGATCAAATCTTACTTCCATTGCATGGCATACCTTTCCTTTTATTTTCTGATCTTTCCCTACCTTTCCAGATTTATATCTTCTACTCTCCCTGCTTGCCGTTCCCAACACATACACACTTTCATGCTGGAGTCATTCAGACCCCCTAAATGTGCCATATTCTTCCTCACCTTTGGCCTTTTTCAAATGTTATTCCATCTGCTTGTGATATTGCCCTTTTGAATTTTCTCTTTCCTAGACCTACACAGCTTCCTCTCTTCCAAGATTCAGTTTAGATGTCATGTCCTCCTTGATGTACTCTGATTATTTTTTACTCTACTCTTTGTCTAAAGGAGCCCTGGAGGGTCAATAGTCAAGTGCTCGGCTGCTAACTGAAGGTCGTAAGTTCGAACCCAACCAGCCACTCTGTGGGAGAAAAGACCTGGTGATCTGTTCCTGTAAAGATTACAGCCTAGGAAACCTTATGGGGCAGTTCTGCTCTGTCACTTGAGGTCGCTATGAGTTGGAATCGACTTGATAACACACAACAACATTTATCACGCCAGGGCAATACATATTTTTTCTTCTGTTTCTATCACTAAACAGCTTCCTAAGAAAACATTCTGTCTTATTTATTGTTTTATTGCTAACTCCTACAGTAACTGGTAGACATTCATTAAATATATACTAAATGAATACATCAATAAATGCTCAGAGTGTTCATTTTAAGCAAACTATTGTATGGACTTTCAGGTTATTCCATTTTCCTAGACATTTCATCATATTTATATTTTTCCATAAAGCATTGCATACTGATTGAATTAAACTTATTCCTTCTTTATAACAAATATTAATGATTTTGACTAAACAACAAGTAAAATGTAGCTTTTCAAGTATTTAAATATTTATTTTTCAAAATGGAATCAACTAATATTACAACTCATGTCTTCTCTACAAAATACAGTATTAACTTTATGTAAGTAGACCAATTATCAAAATATTGTTGCTTCTTATTCTGTGTTTTTCTCTCTTTCTGTTTAGCTGAAGGACACAAAATCAGCAGATCAGAAAACAACACTACTTCATTTTCTGGTGGAAATATGTGAGGAAAAGTACCCGGATATCCTGAATTTTGTGGATGATTTGGAACATTTAGACAAAGCTAGTAAAGGTTTGTGAATTTATAGATAACATTTAATTGTTGTGGGTCTTTAGTTAATACCTAAAGATAGAAAATAGTGCCTTTTACTTGTATAGACTTTCAGCTTTGTCACAGTATTTTTAATACTGATTATCTAATTTTAAAAATAAAGAGAAGCTTGTAGGATATTTATTTTAAGAATTGTCATTACTGGAGCTATGTATTTAATTTGTTTGATTAGATAATGAGGCCCTATATTCAAAAATATATTATTTTACAGTTTAAACCTTATGAATACCTACCAACTCCACCTACTGCTGTTGAAATCTCTTCCCCTGGAGCCAGTGCAGATGCTCCCTTGATTCAGTGTCATCTGCGAAGCACTGAGTGACTACTGTGTATCTGAGCCCCAGCACCAGCAATCACTGTCCCCTTTTGCCTGAATTCCAAACCTAACCCTCACAGCTGGAGTGTTCTTTCTCTGCCCTAGTAGACACCAAACTACCAGAAATTCCACTCAACTCTTCCTAATACTCGCATTTCTAATCTGCTTCCAGTCCATGCTGCGGACTCAAATCAGGGAGTAAATATGGTCTTAGAAAAAGTATGATTTTGATACAATTTTGTGACCATTTGCAGAATCTCATTTTCGTTTACATATCCTATGGAAAAGAAGATTATTTGATTTCAAACAACCAATTTATGAATACATTTTAGGAGACAACTCGTTTGAAAGTGGGAAGTATCTGTAATCTTGTTATTTCCTTTTTAAATTTGAATTTGTCAACTTAAAGAGGGTTTTTTTTCCCTCCATATTGTAGTGAATAAACCCGAAACCAAGCTCGTTGCCATTGAGTCGATTCTGACTCATAGGGACCCTATTGGACAGAGTAGAACTCCCCAAGAATGTTTCCAAGAAGCAGCTGGTGGAGTTGAACTGCCGATTTTTCGGTTAGCAGCCATACTCTTAACTACTATGCCACCAGGGCTCCCTTATAGTGAATATTCTTCCTTAAATTAAAAAAAAAAAAATCATTCTTAGCCCCTTTAAATTGTTTCTTTTTTCTATAAAATGGGGATTGTAGTACTTTATTTGCAAAGAGGAGGTGTGTGATTGGATGAGTTGCTTTTGAAGCTTTGTCCTGAAATGTATGTGTCTTTGAAATGTGTATTCCATACAGCTTGGTGAAAAGAAGGTGGAAAAATTTTGTCTAGAATTTTAAGATCAAATATAACCTTCTAAGTTTATTTTTTTAGTACCACATCCTAATGTTCTCATGATACTAAATCACTTTGCCCTTCCGTTACCTTAAAAGTTATCTTTTAAGAAGAAGAAAATGACTCATATATAGTTATGACTGTTTTGACACAATTTAAGAAGGAAAAATAACCTAAATTGTTTTCTTGTATTAAACAACTTAGGGCAAAAAGACACAGAACTGGATTGGGGAAAAAAAAAAATTAAAAATACCTCAGTGATATTCAAAATAGCTTTTAACTGATGGGTTCATTAACTCAGGGAAGCTGACTCTTCTAAAGTGAGATTTCTGAAATTTTGGAATATTTGAGCAACCAGGATGAAAAAGAATTGAAAATGGCTGTTCTTGATAGACCTTAAGCTTGCTAAGTAATGGAATACAGTAGTAGATGAAAAGTGGTGCAAAATGCCTTGAAATACCTAGAGAGTACCTTTTCTGGGGGAAAGATGATTGGGTAGTTAACAGCTTATATCAACACTAGACCTTTAGCAAGAATTAAATCAATGCAAGCATTTTTTGATAATGACAGTTTGCATTTCTGACCAATTCACCACCTTTTGCACTAGTTCGAAGGCTGAACAGTAGGCTGGAACATACTTCTCTTTCAGATGTATTTTTTATTGTAGAATTTATTTTCTGGCAATCTTTGGTGTGAATGAAGTTTTTAAAATACCATTTATTTAGTTATAATTAAAATTCTCATATTAATACTACATTTTTTTACTATCTTCTAATATTTAACATTCGTAAGGGCTTGCAGAGTTGTAATCTGGCAGTTAGATTCTTCTGTTGGGGTTTTTTTTTTTTTTTTGGTGTTTCTGTGGGACATTCTGGGGCTTTGGGGATATTTAGTTTCCATCTGTTATAGCCGAGGCAGGCATATGTGTGTGGGTCTGCAGATACTGCTAATGTGTTTCACAGGGAGCAACTGACTTCATGTCTAAAACAGAAAAGCCGTCACAGATTTTTTTTTTTTATAGTATAGGTGACTGTTGAGCATAATATCGTTTTATGATTATATTACCCTATTAATGAATGAGATTTTAGAGGAATACGTGTAATGTTTTGGGTGAAATAAGTCTATGTTTCCTTTGAAGGATTTCAGTGCTCTTATATATCATCATTTAAAAGTTTCCAGATTTGAAATTTCCTCAGTGAGCTATCACATGAATTTTAAAAAAAGAACCTTTGTTTTTGAGACATAACAAATCTTGGTCATTAGCTACTCCTAGATCAGCAAGGGGAACTTTCATTGCAACTAATGAGCTTACCCGTATGACAATTTTCAAAAATCTACTTCATTAGGGCTGCTTCTTTTCTAAGAGATAATGGCTTACAGCTTCTCTGCTGTATTTCAGTGAAAATATTTGGGGTCATTGTTGTATTTTTGTGTACCTTTGTAATAGTTCTTTCTTTTATGAACTTCTAAGGGATGAATACATTTTTCCTTTGTCTAAACAATTGAAGTTAATTGACTCTAATCTATGAAGGTTTGATTGATTACTTCATAAAAGCCTGTTTCATTATTAAACTGGAATGGTATTTTATTAATGGGTAGAAAATATAGCTGTTTTTTATATAATAAAAACCAAGATAAGTTTATAGTATCACCTTACTCAGCCCTGTCATTTTAGAACGATCAGAGCTCTCACGTATTTCCATCATTCCCTAGATACTCAACTCTGAGTTCTAGAAATGCCATGCTCCTCTAGTCTCTAACTCATTTAGTCACTCATTCATCTAACAAACATTTGTTGAGTGCTATTCTGTGTCAGAAACTCTGCCCTTGTCTTTCTGCTGATCCAAGTGTAGTTTCTGTGTCTTAATGCAGCCCAGTTTTTAAGAACTCTCACACATCTGGCTTCTGTCTTCATCCCCTATCTAACCGCTAAGTGTTTTTGTTGTTAGTAGCCAAATATTGAACCCTTCTTTTTTTTCTCCCTGTGGCTTGTCTTTAAGTCATCCCTTCAATTTCCAAGGATTTACATGTCATCATTATGCTAATGACTTACAAATTTACATCCCATACTTTCTTTCTGAGCTCATGCTTGTATATCTAACAGTTTTCTTGCCATCACCATCTGCATGTGTAATAGGTATCAGGATCATAATATGCCCCCATTGGGGCTTCTGATTCCTACCTCCCAACTTTATCTAATTGAGAAAATCCTTCTTGTCTTCTTTTCTTCAGATTTCCTTTCTCTCATTCATCATGTCTTTGTAGCTGTCAGCACCTCAGTTTAGAGCTGTGTGGTGGATTCTGTCTGCGTTAAATCTACAGGAGGTGACAGCTGTGGCCTAGAATGTTGTCTAGTTGTCTCCATCAAGTAACTTAAGTAAATGTCACCTTACCTTTGGTGCTTTGTTTTGGTGCTTACTGGGAACCTCACCTAAACTCCTGTGTATTCCCCTCTTTCCTTGGTGATAAATTCATAATTTTTCTAGAAAATCCTTAGACCACTCTTTAAGAACTGCTATCTAGACCGGGAGGAGCCCTGGTTGCACAGTGGTTAAAGCACTTGGACTGCTATCTAAAAGGTCAGTGTTTTGAACCCCCCAGCCACTCCGTGGGAGAAAGATGGGGCAGTCTGCTTCCGTAATGATTACAGCCTTGGAAACCCTATGGGTCACTTCTACTCTGTCCTGTAGGGTCGCTGTGAGTCGGAATTGACTCAACAGTATTGGATTTGGTTTGGTTTTTTGGATCTAGACTGGGCAATGCTCCTGGGCCAGCAGGGAATGGAATTAACTTTTAGCGAAAGGGTGATGTTCAGTGTTACAATATACTGAGTAGATTCAGTGATTGCCCATTTCTAATTTTTGGCACTTCTCTCAGTCTCCACAATTTCAGCTTTCAGGAACATTCCTTGCTATCTTATATTTGATGTTTTTCTCCATTTATAGACCTCTTTCTGCTTTTAAGACTTTATTTATGTGCTTTTAGCTCATAATTCTTTGGTCTGATCCAAATATTTATCTGCCCAAATACATCTCCTGGTTTCCAGTTCCTCATGTCTTTCCAACCTTTTATGATAAATGCTGTACTAAATACCAAATGTTTGCTTCTATTCACTTACCGTGAGCTCTTAGAACACTTAATTTCCAGGTGGCTGCCACCTGGAAACTGCATAGTATTTGAGAATTTCAAATTCATCTGCTATAACAGGCAGACAGTGTTTTCAAAGGCTTCCATTAATCTCCTCATGCTATAGCCTTCCAAACATACCAATTAAAATTTATTAGTGAGCTGTTATACCTTTGAATGTTCAGTATGACTTATTAATTCAATTGTATTTTATATTTTAAGCACAAATTGCAAATATATAAAAATATTTACTGTGCAGCAACATTGCTAGCATTGTGTTAGTTGGAACCACGGTATCATGGAGGCTATAGACTGGGCCCCATAGTTTGTGGGAGATATATAATCCATTTGGTTTCTCAAATCATGGTGTTAGTTGGAACCACTATATCATGGAGGCTATAGATTGGGCCCCATTGTTTGTGGGAGATACATAATTCATTTGGTCTTTCAAATCAATTGTAGTATATTAGAGTTTTATGAAAATATACAGAAACCCTGGTGGCATAGTGGTTAAGAGCTATGGCCACTAACCAAAAGGTCAGCAGTTTGAATCCACCAGGCACTCCTTGGAAACCATATGGGACAGTTCTGCTCTGTCCTTTAGGGTTGCTATGAGTTGGAATCGACTCAATGGCAACGGGTTTGGGTTTTTTTTTCCCAAATCAATTGTAGTATAGTAGAGTTTT